ATTACTCACGATGGCCAAGATACAGAAATAATCTAGAGTGTGTCATCAGATGAATGGATAAGGAAACTCAGGGGCAAATTGCAACTGGAAAATTATGAAACTATAAAAAAATGATCCTTCCCTCTGCAACAGCATGGACAAGCTTGAAATATATGATGCTGAGTGGGATAAGGCAGACACAGAAACACCAGTACAGCTTGACTTTACTTAGACGGGACATGGGAAGGTAAGTCTGGGAGAAGCAGAGAGCAGATCAGTGCTTGTCAGGGATTTCAGTGGCATTGGTCATAGGTACAAACTTTCGGGTATAAAATAACCATGTTCTCGGAATCCAGTGTTCAAGGTGAGTTGTGGTAGATGTGTGATTAGTACCACTCTGGTGATCACACCACATATGCCAAGTAAGTGGGTGACTCTAGATAGATTGGCTAGACTCCACTGGATGAACTTGCACCAAGGGACAACTGCGTACACAAACTTTTAGAGGCCTTAATGTATATGACAAAATGCATGAAATCTGGTGGCGAGGGCTATGGGGATGTGGATGGGGTGGAGATCTAAATATGATTAAGATGTAATGTATGAAGTGCACAAAAATTCAGTAAAAATATACATTGAGAAAAAATCGCATTGAGAAAGCCATTGACACACACACACACACACACACATTGAGTAATAATAACTGATTCCAATGAAAAGGGTTATAAAAAAATTGTATATATGACTGGTTATTTTGATTAGAGGATTATGAACATTTTGGCCAGAAATAATTAGACTGGACCTGGGAAGATGACTTTAGTAGGTAAAGTGCTTACTGCACAAATCCTAAGTTTGGATACTCAATACCCATGTAAAGCTGGATGTGGTAGTATGCACCTCATACCCCAGCTCTGGGCAAGTGGAAGCAGGTTAATTCAGATCCCCAGGACTTGATGGCCAGCTTAGCCTACATAAAACAGTGAGCCCTAAGTTTAGTAAGAGACCCTGTCTTGAAAAATAAGGTGGGAATAAGAAGAAAAATTAGGGGGAAAAAGTATTGAGGAAAACACCCAGATGTCAACCTCTGGCTTCCTAACCTATCTGCTCAGGTGATCATGTTCACACATACACACACACACACACACACACACACACACACACACACACACACACCACACACACA